TTACGAGCTCGTAGTTACGAGCGAGCGAGCGCAGCGAGCGAAGCGAAGTCTTTTCAATATAACGGAAAATCTCAGTATGAGCGGCCCGGCCCGGCCTGTAACGCTTTTGAGAGGCTTATATAATCTCAGCAACCGCTGGACCGATTGGCCTGCGGTCTTTTTTGCTGGGTAGCCGCATCCCTTCTACCTCGTAATTGACTTCTTTTGATACAACTCAGTGACCGTCGTGGCACGTGCCACGTGAAAAGTCAAGGGTGTTCAAGCTGTTTTGCAAAAGTAGTGATTTTGAGAGGCTCATATCTCAGCAGCCTCTCGGGCGATTGTCTCACGGTAATTTTTGTAGGGTAGCTGCATTCCTTCTACCAAAGGTCGGGTACTCTTGATCTATGTGAGTGACCCCCACTGCACGTGCAAAATACAAAAAGAAGAGGTGCCAAATTTGTTCCCATTTCAATAACTCGGTAATTACTGGGGCGATTTCGCTGAAACTTGGCATACAGGTAGGCACCCACCAGGCATTTCCATGTGTTGTGGTTAGGGTGCTACTGCACGTGCGCACGTGCAAGGGGCGCTTCCAGATCTCGAGAGCGCCTGGGCTGATTGCGCTCAAATTTGGTACACAGTTGGGGACCGGTTAGTATAGGGTGCCGTGCAAAAGTCAGTTTGGACCCCGCTTGCATGTGCGCACGTGCAGAATGCCGCTTCCAGATCTCAGGAACGGCTGGGCCGATCGCGTTCAAATTTGGCACACCGCTAGCGGCCGGTTAGAAGGGTGTTTTGCACAAGCCCGTTGGAAGTACCCTCTCGCCTTTCCGCATGTGCAGGGCTCACTGTCTCGCTCGCTCGTTCTTCGTCCAAAAGGCGTTTTACTGGTTGTGTTGTTGAAAAACCTAACAAGAGACGTCGTGGCCTTTTCATTACGGAGCGAGCGAAGCGAGCGGAGTCTTTCCTTAGCCCGCGCCCCGTAGGGCTATCGGCGGACCCTACCGCCCGTAGGGGAAGGGCCATTTCGGCCCCCCCCCTAAGATCTCGGAAATTTACCGGCCGATTTTCAAAATTCAAACGGTGTTCGATAGCCCCACCGGGGAACTACCTTGTGACCAAATTTCATTGACCTAGCTCAAACCGATGACGTCACAGGTCAGGTCAAAGGTCGGATTTTCACCGTTCACAGGGATTTCAAGAAATGTGTTGTGAAATCGAGTAAATTGGTAATTTATTGAAAAACATCGATGGTACATTGTTCGTCAAACACATACTTTGCTATATGAGGTCACTGATACCAGGTCAGGTCACAGCGAGGTCAGGTCACCGGGGGTCACAATATGAAAGTGTCGTGTGATACATGTTTTATGGTCCATTTTACATGACAAATGCGATTATGTGGGTTAGGCAGCCTTTGGGGCCAGCCTAGATCACGTTTTGGTGAAGGTCAGGTCAAGGTCAGGTCAAATTAGGTCAAATTTCAAAGTTGATATTTTTGCATAAAATGGGTATCGATTCGATGCATCTCGTCACGGGGAGTCTAATGGTGGTCTTTGTTTTGCTCTACAATGTCTAGAATTGCCAAAAATTGAGTTTAAAAATTTGACGTCATCATTTTTGAACAGGTTTTTCGCTATAACTTGGCCAAAAAACGAGGTATTGATCTGAAATTTGGTATGTGGATAGAAGACGGAAGGTACTATCACATATATTCCGGTTTTTTTCTAAACTCAAAAAAGTTTTTGGATTTTTTGGCAAATATATCCAAAAAATGCTATTTTTATTTTTGGGTGTCACAAATCAAAAATTTCAAAAATCGGAGATAGCAGTTTTGTAGTCCTGTCAATTCTACACCTTTTATGTCTTGATCATTTTTCTTTATCTTCAAAGCTGTAGGCCTTACAGGTCTTCTCGCGAAGGTCTTTTTTCTGTCGAAAATGACAGAACATGACGTCATTCTGACGTCATTTGTGGCCAACCTATCATAGCCTCTGAAACGTTTTTTGGTCACAATGTGTAAAATTGATGCCAGGAGGGGTCCTGAAAGTTTGGTGGCGATATCTCCAGCCGTTTAGGAGATATCGACGGAAAAGAACAGGGAGGGGCCGTTTCGGCCCCCCCTACGGGGCGCGGGTACGGAAATTTATGAGTATGAGCGGCCGGCCGGCCGGCCGGCCGTGGTCACGATTTTGCAACGCTTATATCTCAGCAACCACTTCACCGATTTACACGCAGTTATTTTTGTAGGGTAGCTTCATTCCTTCTACCAAGTATTGGACTATTCCCGATGCATGTGGGTGTCCCCTTATGCACGTGCCACAAGCAAAACGAAGAGGTGTCACTTTTCTAATTGTTGCAATATCTCGGTAACTACTTGGCCGATTGCGCTGAAAGTTGGCATGTAGGTAGGCACCCACTAGGCAATGCATGTCCATGTGCTAGAGTTGGGGTGCTGCTGCACGTGCGCACGTGCAGGGGTCGATTCCAGATCTCAAGAACGGCTGGACCGATGGCGCTCAAATTTGGTAAATGGTTAGGGACCGATTAGTAGGGTGCCGTGCAAAAGTCAGTTGGGACCCATTTTGCACGTGCGCACGTGCAGGGTGCCGCTTCCAGATCTCGAGAACGACTGGGCCGATTGTGCTCAAATTTGGCACATCGCTAGAGACCGGTTAGTAGGGTGCCGTGCACAAGTCAGCTGAAGGTACCCCTCGAAATTTCGCACGTGCAAGGCTCACCCTTTCGCTCGCTCCGTTAGTCGCCCCAAAAGGCGTTATACTGGTCAATATATTAACCCTCGCCCATGTAGGGGGGGGGGGGGGTTGGTGCAACCCCCCCCCTGAGGCTTTTCGGAAATAGTGCAAAAACGGCGGCGCGCAGCGCCGCCAAATTTTGGGTACCTTATGGGGCAAACCTTGCGCATCTTTTGATAAAAAAAAAAATTTGACCGGGTCATGTCAGGTCACGGAGTTATGACGTCACAAAGGGAACAGCCTCCGACCGGATTTTCACAAACTGAGTGCCAACGCCCGAGGTTTCCTGCCGGTGGTACGGACATCGGTTGATGGATCGTGATGAAACTTCCCATGCATGTTGAGGCAAGAATTGGCTATCATACGGTATAAGAAACTTGACCGGGTCAGGTCAGGTCACGGAGCTATGACGTCACAAGAGGAACAGCGTCCGGTACTATTTTTGAAAAGCGCCCGAACCACTATTTTGCTAATTCTTGTCACCTCAATGGGAATATGCAGCAATATTAGCTTCTATAGGGAGCAAATGGACCTCCCAAATCCAAAAATACAATCAGATTTCAAAAATTTAAATTTTGATTTTTCGAATTTCTGCCGCCGACTGTGACCTTGCCGACTTCCGGCGCTCCCAACGCGCCATTTTAGAGCTAGGGAAACGAAATACATACCAAACGATAGGGAATTGATCAAGGAACACGATAGTGAAGGTTTCAAGTCGACATCTCCCACCGTTTTGCCGCAATCGCCGCGGAAAGTTGAAAAAAGTCTATTTTTCCGAAAATTTGACCTTTGACCGGTCAAAAGTAGGTTAAATGTTGACCTAGGACCAAAAAATATACCACCAATCGCGAGATCTCGGCGAGAGCAATCCGTTGGTCTTTTCCGCTAAGCTCTACGACGCTCCGTTTTCAAACGCCAAGGGGGGGTCGCACCAACCCCCCCCCCCTGCATGGGCGAAGGTGGCAGATCGCCGTTTACGGGCGAGGGTTAAATAGCGTGAGGACAAGGTTTCTATGGTCTATATTCATGTAAAATGAAATTGAAACATTACTTTATCCATTTATATAAAATGCGTATCAGATAGCTAATTCAGATGAGGACTGATAGAAGTCGTTCGTGGTGACAGAACCTGAGCCGTCAAATCCACTCTGACTCTCGCGTGACTCTTATACCGGATTGACATGGCGCCGAAATCGGTCCGCGATTGGCTGTTTTTGCCGACCGTGCCGTGCCGGCTGAAATGAGCGCGCTCGCGGCCCTCACCGTGCGTCCCTCGCCTCTCACCCCGTGCGCCGGCCGGCTTCATCGGGCCATCGTGTCGACGCACGGCGCCGCTAATCCCGATAAGAGGGTGCCGAGCCGAGCTAAGCCGGCCAACTGAGCACCATTAGTCACATGTGCGCCGGTGCTGTAGCGGCCAGAGCGGTGCCGATTTGACACGGATTAGAGCCCGCAGAGGCTGTGCGTGAGACCCGACCGGCACGCAATACACTGTAAAAGATTGCAGCGTGCTTACCGAGTAAAGGTAACGAATAAAGCGACTGGCGTCACAGATCAACGCTAATGCTAAAAGCGTACTTTTGTAGATTGAATTGAAGGCAGGGATCAAAAGGCTTTGATTGCGGGAATGTAAAGGAAATGATAGATGTGGCAACGATCACTACCTGCGACTTCGGTTGTTGGAAAATCGTACTGGGATAACCGCCAAATAATGTGTGGATTGTGAATGCCTGGTCACTGGTGTATTCAGATGTTTAACGTAACACATAATTATTTTGATTAGGTGCATTCGAGTTCATCAAAAATATGATATACATGTAGTCATTAATTTCTGGCATAAATCAATCATTAGTTGGTTGTATGTGCAAACACAGTAGCATGTCATTACGTCGCAATGTTAATGAAATATTGCATAATTATGTTTCTTCTTGAGAAATCCTCCAAAACTACTACACATAGCGTAAATTACAAGCATAACTTAACTAATTTCAGCTAACTACATATATGTGAAATGTGCAAGCGTTATTATTACATGGACTTGGGAAAGAAAAAGATAAAATTGAAGAGGTGCTTAGTGCATAAGCAATTAACCCATATGAAAGCAGACGATGATAAAATATTTTTCATTCGTGTTTCGAGTCATTGGTATGGTATGTTGACTGTTTTAATGTCTTATTCCGGCTTCTAGCTCATTTTCCTGTGAGAGCATAGCTCTCTGATCATTCACCACCCATGCAGATTGCAGCGGATCTCAGAACTCACCGGCCGCCGATCCGAGCAGCACCGCCAGAAGGACGAGAGCCCTCATGGTGTCGGTGCTCCGCTCCCTGACCGCTGACTGACGCTGACCGACCGCTGACCGCTGACCGACGACTGACCGCTGACCGGTCGGACACTGCGCACCGGACCGTGCGCGCGCCTCCGCTACCTCCTGCGATGTGAGGCGGACGCCGGCGAGACGGACCTCCTGGTAATGACGGCCGCCACACAGGCATCAGTCGATCACATAAACAGAACGACAGGCTGTGTCTCTGGTGCCCCTCCTCCGCCTCATCCCCTCCCCTCCCTCCCCTCTCTTCCACCCCCTCTTCTCCGGTGACCGGCGCGCGCGCTCCGGAACGGGCCGGCTTTGTAACGCGAGAGCCGCCGGGGGCCCGTCACCAGAGCCGCGACTGTGGGGAGGAGCGGCGGTCTCCAGAGCAGGCGCGAGATGACAGGAAGGGCACAGGGTGACTGTCCATCCGGAGCTGACCGGATAAGGGTCACCGAGCATGCCAGCACGCCAGCACCATGAGCATGCAGTGCTGTGTGGCTGCGTCTTCTGTTGAAATGTGTAACGGAACTTGACGGCAGATTGGGCCAGAGGATCGATTATGGATTAGAAGGCGTTTAATAAGTCTATATTCATTTTGCATATTCCTTGCATTAGACATATCACGTCGAAAAACGAGTTCAGAGAAAGTATATTTTGCATCCAAAACTTAAATGCGTTCAAGTAAATCGCCGTAAATAGTTCAAAAGTATTTCGATTTATTCCTAATTCGAGTTGATGTTTTCGCAGCTAGATAAGCCTTCTCACTTTTGCACGTCTTCCTCATCGAAATTTCACCACACTGTACTCGCTCTAAATGTGACAACTGACAAAGCTGTTGGTTAATTCCGTCCCTTGTGAACATCAACTTTGGAACGAGCTGGATTCTTGTGTAGCTCTTCGACTTGACGATTTACTAGGTCATTTTTGTACCGAATTGATCATGACTCTCCCTTAGAAAGACGCTGAGGGCTAGATGACGGTAAATAGAGGTCCTTCGATCGGCCGTGTCCTGGTGCGTCACGCCATGTCACGAGGTGTCACGCCGTGTCACGAGGTGTCACGAGGTGCACCGTGACGCTCTGACGAGCACCGACACGCCGATGTCGTCCGACCGAGGGACATGTTTGGGCTTCTGGCTGTGTCCGCTGTCATGTCGGACACTTGGCTCGCCCTGCGCGTCGGACCTCCGCGACGGACCTCCGCCGCGGCCCCCCGTGCTGGCCGTCAACGCCTGCGCCCTCCGTCCGAGTCTGTATACACAATGGCTAAATACAGTGGCCACGGAACATCAGACCGGCATACCAAAGCAGTAGTCTGGTAATTAGTTAAAGGTAGTGTGCCAGCTTTCCTGGACCGTATGGAGTTAATGGCCCAGATAAGGAGAACCGGATTTTTAGAACTTATCCATATCTTCAAAACTCATGGAAACGTCTTAAATTCTTCAAATTTTGAGTACCCCAGTGCGAAATTCGCCCCGACGGGTTGTCGGTCGTACCCCAACCACATTTCACACCACTATGAACAATAAATGCACACACTGAAATCGCTATTACCGATAGGCTCATTCAATCAAGTTTCGATAAACCCGTTCATCATCATCTCCTGCGGTTTCGAACACGCCTGTTAGGTGGTGCGGTAGACCGCGCCCAAAGCCAGGGCCCCGGTAACGTGAGGTAGCCGAGTCGGGGCAGCGTGCGCTGACCCAAGCCGGGGCCGCGCGTCCTCCCGGTGTCATGTGATAGCCCGGGGTTGCCCGCGGGAATGCGGTAGACCGCGCCCAAAGCAAAAGCTGCGGCCCCGGCTTGGGTCAGCGCACGCTGCCCCGACTCGGCTACCTCACGTTACCGGGCCCTGGCTTTGGGCGCGGCTTCTGCTCATACTTTGTGGTGCGGTGGTGGTGCGTCGGGCCGCGCGCTCTGACTTCGGCCAAGAAAAATGCGTCAGCTGATCATTGTCATTTCTGCCACTTTCATGTGGTGAGATGGGGTCATAACTTTAGAGACGGCTGTTTCATATCAATTATTTTACATAAAATAATATTTCAAACCATAAATTAGTGTTCGACAGCCAAATTAAAGAAACAATACCAATACAGGCTTACAGTTTAACCCTATTCCTGGCGGGGGGGGGGGCCTCAGGAGCCCCCCCTGAGGTTTTTTGGTTATTTCTCCCAAACGCTTTGAGCTAGGAAGCTCAAATTTTCTGACTTTTACTAAAAGGCTTTTACGCAACATTTCTGAAAATTTTGAGTTGATTTGACCTCAGGTCAGGTCACCAGAGGCGGTTTGGTGACCCTACCTCAGAAAAGTTTGCAATCACGCCAGAGCTAGAGTTTTTGACCGATCAATTTCTTCTCTTCAGGCTTTAGTTAGGGTACCAGTATGTGCAATTTGTATATCTCAGAATTTTCATATCTGTGACCTGAGGTCAGGCAAGACTCGTGACCTTTACATTGCAAGCCTATGGGAAAATATTGAAACGCCTCCTGCTTCGTGTAAACGAGTCAAAACCACCCAATTCTTTCAGTATTATGGAAGATTATCTCATCGGTGATGATCCTGGTGCTGCTAATTGACAGGGGCACCGGCAAAGGTCATCTGAGGTCATGTGACGTCATAAATCGTTTTTCTATAAATAAATCACGACATGATGGTGCTAAAGATTTGTAAGTGGTACCAAACTGCTCGCCTGGTCAAGGCGCGTCGTTTGGTATGCAGCATGACCATACCCCACAACCTCATTGATGAATGACCTGACCTTGACCTCAGGTCAAATTTCAAATTGACCTCTGAAGGTCATCACATACTTATTTCGCATCGCTTCGGCGAGAGCAACAAAAAATGTATTGGTTTTATGTCTCTATGTTTCTTAGTTTAAAAGTTATATAGGTAACTAATTCCAAAACATTTTATCGTTGATGACCTCTGGTGACCTCAATATTGACCTGACCTGAAAATGTTTTATGTAAAAATTGTAGATCTTTAAACGACCTATCAAACGCCGTTCGCCGTTTGTCGCTGCGATGTGTAGTTTTTGAGATCTGAAGGGGGGGGGCGAATCGGCCCCCCCGCCAGTTTCTTGTCCCGGCGGAGCCCGCCAGGAATAGGGTTAAATTCGACATTGTGTTGTCTACGATTAGACAGCTGATAACTCATTCCCGTACGTCGTAACTCTATAATGACCTTTGCCTATTGTCACATGTGCGCCGCATTCGTGACTGTTGCCGACGCCTGTTTGCAGGTCAGCCCACTATAATTGTTATACATATCGAAAAACCGATAAACTTTTAGGCAAAAAAGCACTATTTTAGGCCCATTTTTGATTTTTTGCGATATTGGGAAATCATTCGAAGGTGGCACACTACCTTTAAAAGTCCGGTAAAAGAGTCAGCTGCTTGAGAGTGTGCGATGGTCTTCTATGGACTTCTTGTGATTGACAAAAATTCGCGGTTGAACTGTTAGGGGAGAGTGGTGCAGGAGGCCCCCCCTTAAGCTCAGTTGCTATTTTGAGACAACTGATAATATTTAAGAGCTAACGTGTGCATGCGCTGTGAGCATGCATCATTTTCCCATACATATTTGCATTCAAAATGAATCTAGGGGGTACACAAACCGTAAACTTTAACATTTTGGAAAAAGTTGCAAAAGGGCCTCTTACACTATGGGTATGGTAAGACGCCCCCCCCCCCCTCGGGCGTTTAACAAGGCAAGTCGACTTGTAAAAGACGTTTTGCGAACACAGCTGCAAGGCCTTTTATTTCGAAAAGCTAAGCAAATACGGTGTTATCGAAACCAATAACACTTCCAAAGCGCTCGAACAATGCGAAAACTAGCACAACCAAACGCTGATGACCAACGAAAATTGTACCTATTACCTCTAGAAAAAGAAACAGAAAAAAAGAAACAAAAACAAACTCCTTGAAAAAAGAATGCCACGCCTGCCGCAGGTGCAGGCGTTTTAGCATCGGGGGCGTTTTTTATCGGGGGGGGCGTTTTATAATCCTCGAAGGGAGGGCCTCTTAAAAAAATGCAGTGTTTTAACGTCACAATATTTATGGTTTATGAGACATTTGCAGCGCACCAGAACATGGTCTATTCTGAAGCTAACATGTGACAATTTCGATGAGATAAGATTGCATTTGATAGTCATTGTTTTTTCAGATATATAAGGGTGATAAAGATGCATATATCTAGCAAGTAAAGGGGCAAAAACAGAAACAGGCTTACCAAAAGTCGCTGCGACGCACCTGATACCTCAGGTTTCGTGAGTTGTTGTTTCAAGAGGGCTTCTGCTTTACAAGAACATTAAAAAATAAATAACATTATTGGTTTGGTAAAAAAGCGATGGGGCCTCTTACCGACCCTGGGCGTCTTACACGGATCTCCCCTATATGTACAATTCCGTTCATTTCCATAGCCGAAATATTTCAGTAACATGCATTTTTAGGGGGCGACAAGGAAAAACAGGGATAATTTTGCTTCCTCTAATGTGCTTTTAAGTGTAGCTAACTTTGAATAATTTCAAAAGCCCGTTCTTCTGAGTGATAGAAAATATCCGATCACCCTGGAATGGACGGACAGACCAACTGCCTCATGCCTGCAGTTGTTCACCCATGGGGACTGTGTATAGGCATTTCACTGCCCCGTTGCTGGTACGCTGTAGCCTCAATATATCCTGCTGAACAAGAAATGCACAACATCGGAAACTAACAAACCTTATCGGAGTATGACAGTGCGATGGTTGCCAGACCAGGGTACCGTCATAAAGCGCATCGAGTATCTGCGTTTCGGGACAGAGACCAGCCGCGTGTATAAACACTGTGCGTTACTCGATACATTGAAGGCTGTACACTGTACAGCGAGCCTGGTGATTAAGTTTTGTTAGCATAATGCGATACATCAGCGGATGTAAAATGCATGGTTGTGGAAGTCTGAACATGAACCTTTGTCGCATCCTTGTCATGAGCGGCGAACCTATCTTGTCAGTTTCTCAATGAGTTAGGTGCAAATACTCCTCGATCTATAGTTCGTTTTTGTGAGGGAAGCATCACAAGTTTTAGACGATGATTTGTAAAGTTGTTTCAGTTATTTGCGATTTTCCCCCTCAGCTCGCACGGCGCCGTGCTGTCTGGAGGTGATATCCGCCCTCTTCGCACGTGGCTCTGCCGGCCCCG